AGAGAGAGAGAGAGAGAGAGAGAGAGAGAGAGAGAGAGAGAGAGAGAGAGAGAGAGAGAGAGAAATGAGAGCGAGAGACAGTGTGTTTGCTGAACTTTGCTCCAAAAGAAACTGATAGAGTGTGTGTGTGCATGCATGTGCACGAGAGAGAGAGAGAGAGAGAGAGAGAGAGAGAGAGAGAGAGAGAGAGCATTGTGCCATTTGGTATTTGGCTTTGGTTGCAAAAACAATCGACTTGATCCTCACCTCACCTTATGGCAGGATCTCGGGCCGGGTCCACCATCTTGCGCTGTGTCCTCAGAAAGTAGCCTCCACGAACTGGTTGCAATCTCAAAAACCCAAAAATCAGAGAGGTCCTTTTCGCCATCCCACCCACCAATCAAGTAGATTTTCCCTGTGATTGATTCAGAGTGCGCACAAAAATTAAATCAGTAAGTCAAAAAAAATTGGTTCATCAGAACGTCATCCTAGAGCAAACAAAAACCCATGGAAATTGAAGAATCAATCGCAAAGGCCACTGAAAGCATTCAAGTCCACCAGTTGATATCTTCACACACACACACAGACACATGCAATGACTTGCTGTTTTCTGGTCGCCTGTAGCCTCTCTCTGTCAAGGCTGTACTATAGGTAGGACAGATTCGCAATTTTGTTTGGCTGAGGGGTAACCGAGAGACCTACCTGTGAGGGAAATTTGTGAGGGACATATCTGCAAATTCGGGAAAATACAGGCCCGGTACTAACCGGATTCCCTACAGCTACCCTAACTGCGGATAGCAGGCCCGGGCTACCTCTAGGACAGACAGGCCCTGAGGGCCTATTCTGATAGATGGTCCTATAGCCTATAGCCGGGTCCAGTAGAGGCCGAGAGGTCGAAACAGAAACGGTACCGGTCGGTCAGTCAGTCCGGTCTAGGTCGAGTCTAGGCTAGTTGTAGTCTATAGATAGGATGGGCACATCGGTTCAGGGCTTTTTGGCAGTGGGTACCGTGTGCATCGCTGCTGCGCTACGTATGAACCGAAAGTGGTGACGGCTCAGCGTAGAGAGGGACAGGCATAGCCAGACCTTCGGAGGGCAGGCCATAGCTGGGACCTGCGCTGTACTCTGCCAGCACGCAGGGGCTGAAAGAGGTCTGGGTTATCGAGGTCTGCTGGAGGCGAGAGAGACAGGTGCCCTGCTGGACCCTCCTCCGGAGTGGGGTCCCAGGGGGTTTGCGCTGCAGCCATAGCTGCAGCTTCTTCTTCTCGGAGGTCATCTTGTCAGGGTTTGGTGGCGCTGCTGCAGACTTCCACCCGGGAARTCTTCCGACACTTYGTCATCATCAGATACTGTGGCGCTGGTCTTCTTCTTCATCCTCTGAGTGGCGCTTGACCTCAGAGGTCTGTTTCAGGGTGGCGCTTCCCTCAGGAGGCTGTATCTGAGTGGCGCTTGGTGTTTCAGGGACTCTGGGGGTGTTATGGGTGTTAGTCAGGGTTGGGGAGTGAAGCGCTGCTCAAATCGGAGCAGCGCACTGCGGTACTGAAGTTATCCTGACAATTCGAGACTCTGAGTTTAATAAACAGCGTGATACTGTGTTTGGACTATCATCGTTTCATTGTTTCCTGGATGTGATCTTCTCGGCTTTTCTCTATGACTGGTTGTGAGGATTGAGTGGAGTAAATTGCACTTTCAGTGTACCCTGTCATATCGCATGGTCAAGTCTTCCGCTGTGTTTCTCTCTCCCTATGCGGTGTGATACTCCTATCCTCTCCCCTTCCTTCTGTGTATGTATGGGCATCTCCCGAAGTCTATGTGAGTGAGTGTTGGCCTTCAGGCAACGAACAACCAGAATCATAACACACTCATCTTCACACACACATACACACAAATATCTTCACACACACACACACACACACACACACACACACACACACACACACACACATGCTGAGTTGGTGAAAGTCCGACTAAATAGTCTGGCACAGTCATGTTTTTCATTTCTGAGTTGCACACGCACACACACACACACACACACAGAGCGCTCACGGCGGAGTAGAAGTTCTTCGCATACGACAGCGCACCGCATGATGGGTGAAGCTTCCAACGACAAACAACGAAGAAAAAAAGGACAAATGCACATACAAATGCACGTACGACAACAACAGGGCGAACAGAAGACAAAACCCTACCGGTAGGTACCGCGCCAAGAGAGCGTAGCAGTAGGTATCGTGGCCCCCTCCAACAGGCAAATGGTCTGGGCTGTTTGGCCCGAGGTACCGGGCCAACGGCCTGGATTGACGTGCAATCTTAAGATCTTAAGACCACGCGCCAGTCCGGCCCGTCGATCCTGCAGGACCCGACGGCCGGGATTTCAGATTTATTACATGTTTCGGGCGATCCTGGCCATGGGCTAGTAGGACCGACGACGGCCCCGATCAGAGATTGGTTCCATTAGCGATCTTAATAGTGTGGAGAAATGCAACTGTACAGCTGTAAGTTCTGAGGATCTTCCTTTTCTATTTAATTAGTGACTTCTTTAGAATCTATAAAGACAATACGACTGAATGAGTGCCTCTTTAAACCACCAGTACATGGGCACCTGGGTCGCAGGTTGACACCTCAAATTCTGGAGGGGCGAAACGAAAACCGGGCGCCAATCGAATTTATCAACGGCGGGCCCAGCGTTTGACTTTTCGGCCTCGTTTTCTTGGGGCGACAAGTTTCAGACTGCAAGGCTGGGCCAGATACTTGTGTGTGTGTGTGTGTGTGTGTGTTTTCTTCTTTTTTTTTTGTAACTGAACTTACCGAAGCTTTTATTTCCGACATGAAGATAGCTTTCCACAAGTGGTTAACAGGGACGAGTACGGTTCGAACCACCAGTACAGCTGGAGAATTCGAATGAGCCTCTTCTAAAAGTTTGGGGAGTGGGACAGGGCCATCCTGGGGGGGGCGGACATTTTTTTTTTTTTTTTTTTTTTTTTCCAGGGCTAGGCCTAGTGCCTGGGGCAATTTTGTTTTTTACTACTCGGCCTTTGGTCCCCCTGTCCCGAGCATCCGAAATTTTAGGAGAGGCTCAATCGTATTCTCAACTTGGCTGGGGCCATGTACTGGTGCTTTAAAAGGTGTGGGAGGTTTGTTATAATGACCCTGAAAAAAAAACCTGAATATTTAGGGCTCTGTCAACCGCCTCTCATAAAAATCAGCTACGACAACACGGTGAAAAACAGTGGAATCGTAACACAGCAAGTTAGCAACAAAGAAAAGCTGTTCAAATTCAAGAGTTCGAAACATATTCCATCGCTCGTAACTCTGATGGGGCCAGGAATCATCACATACAACCTGGAGAAGCAGAATTCTTTAGAATCTAAGTAAGAGTTGGAACTTACCTTCTGCGAAATATTGGCTTTCAAAACCAGCACTACCTTTCACAGGAAAACTTGAAACAAAAATGTAACCTATACCTCATTCTTCGGAGGCCGGGTCCTGGTGATGCCATCCCCCCCTCCCCCCTCCACACCAAAAAAAAGTCATGCTGGTGCTTTGGCAAAGCTTGGCGTGGAGTTCTATTCCACCTCCACAAAAAGAGGCTCGCAGGAAGTGGGGGCTTAAGAATCTAATACAACACGAGCAACGAGCGAACGACAACTCTGAACTTAACCTGGGATCGGTCATTTCAAACTTCCAAGACGATATCTCCAGGCTCGGTCATTTCAAACTTCCAAGATGATATCTCATGGCCGTCGCCCTTTTCTTACAAAAAGAAAAAGAAAAAGAAAAAAAAACACAACCCAATAGAACATCCATGTCAGTTCATGAGGCGGCAATGGATGAGGGACAAGTTGGACAACTGAAAGAAAGAAAAAAGGGTCTTCAGATCGAAGACGAATCTGACTACCAGAACCTGTCATTCAAGTTGCACTAGAGATCCCGTTTTTTTTTTTTTTCTTATTTTAATTCAATCCGTTTTTATAATAAGAAAAATCAAATCAGTAAAATAATATGAAAAGAAATGCATTTAAGGGTCAACGGACCTTCTTCTGGATCAATGCACATCTGATGTCCGCCTCGCATTCCAGGTCTCTGGCAATCGGTCTGTTCCGGAACAACTCTGGACCAGACTGGTTTATAACTACTGTTTAACACGTACTCCTCAAACAAACCATCCTCTCCCGCTCGTCTAAGCACCCTCTCTGTCGCTTTGTCATCGCCCTGCAGAACCAACTGCACAAACACATAAACACACACACACAAAAAAAAAAAAAAAAAAAAAAAAAAATCATCATCGATTCATTGATGATATTCTATAATTTACAGTATCATAATTATTAATCATCATATATTTGACATTTCATAATACGATCTATATAAGAACAAATAGAATATGATGTATTAGTATATAGTGCAAGGAAAATGAGCGATTGCGAACTTCCGAAACCAAGCAGCATCATACGCATGTGACCACATAGTCGTGAGTCGTGACCTCAAACCAAAGCAGAATTGAAACACGAGTTCCATCAAATAAGTGCTCAGCAAAAGCCCATAAGTGACAATGTTCGAATAGTTTCATCATCATCAACAAAGAACCAATGTCGACATCCTATCTGGCGCTCTGCGCCCAGACTACTCATGGCAGATCCTATCTAGCCTAATCTACAATGACGCTGGTGATGTCAACAGCTCCCCCGAAGTACGAGCAGATCTCGGCCAATGCCATTCGCCTCAAGCACCAGGTATCACTCACTACCTCGATCCCCCACTCACAGATGCCACGTGCACCCAATGACCACCATGCGCCCCATCCAGCATGCAGCAGCGCAGCTCGGCTATGGCTGCCTGCTCCTTCCAGCTCGCCCGTGAGCAAGTGAGTGCTGGCCAGCGTTAGCGCAGCAACGCTTGCGCAGCAGCAGGCAGTGCCCGCATGCCGAATGCATGGGCAGGTCCTTTCCTAAATGAAAGTGGCCTGCCTGCTTGTGTGCAGCCTGGCTGGGCTGGGCCCATGCCCAGAAGCTTCCGGTAGGCCCAGAGAGGATGAGCCCCAGTCCAAACGAATCAGGTCCTGGCCTGTGGTGGTTGCCCGTGTCCAACTGCCTGCGGCCTGTGTTCGGTCCATGTTGCGAATCTGGCCCAGGGCCTGCCTCGGTTACATTCGGAAGAGGCAGCCTGGGCCTGGGCGCTCTCAACCAACTGGCGCTGCGCAACTGCCTAAATTCACCCAGTTGTGTGGTGACCCCCAAAATAGGCCTGTAGGCCCTGGGTCGAGCCTGTCTTCACTAGGGCGGCCAACTGTACAGAAAAAAGGGCCCAGTAGGGGCAGATCGAGGCCTTGAGCCTCGCAATAGAATATATAAAATTAAAATATAATTACATAAAATACTAGGCTACCAGCCGGGCTGCCCGGATCACCTTGTTTTCCTGGGCGGCCCGGCCGTGCACGGACAAGGGAAGGTCCCAGCAAAAAAAAAAAAAAAAAAAAAAAAAAAAAAAAAAAAAAAAAAAACTACGTTATGCAGAAAAATAAAATGAACAACTTTTTTTTTTTTTTTTTTTTTTAATTCAAAAATCAATCAGGGCCTGGTCTACTGCCTCCAGGGTGTTGAGAGCCCCTGGTGATAGTAGCCAGCAGACACTTCGATGGCTCCGATCTATTCGTGGGGAGCTGCACCAAACTGAACAACTTTTGCCTGAGGGTCATATCGAAATCCTTTACCAAATTTTAAAATAAAATATAAAATATAAAAATAGTTTGTTTGTTCTTTTTGGCTCGGGCGGGCAAGTGGTCCCCTGGCCACTCTGGAAGCCTAGATATAATATAGATCGTATCTTCATCAAAAAAAAAAAAGATTGATCATTAATGATTTACATCAGGTCCACGATGTGTAGGCTAAGCGTGCCAAGTTGTTTCAAGTTATATCCTTACTTGGTTGAACAGCGGTAATGTTTGCTGTGACTTTGCGACTTTGGTCGTACGTCTCTATGCTTGGTCCCATGACCTCCAGCTTGCATACGTACCAAACCTGCAATTTATTCATTTTCTCATGTTTTTTAATTAAAAAAAGAAGAACATTTTGCATCAACATAATTCAGAGAGACCTGTGTACACTGAGGTCCAGAACATCTGGTGCCTGGTACCCAAATGGGTTTGGCGTGCGAGTCCGCGATTAGTTCAATAACCGTTGACCAAACGGTCAAATCTGTCCACAGTTAAGCCACTGGCCTGCCAGATTCAGGAGTCCTTCAGGGTTCAGGGTTTAGGGTTTGTGGCCTCGAGCTCTTTTTGAGAGATGATCTTTTCCTCTTTCTCTCTCCAGATATAATCGAGTCTATAGAGGTGCAGTGGGTAAGTAAACAAGTGGTGATAATTCATCATACAACCATATCACACGATCCCAGTGCTTACGTATACACTGAACCCTTGGCTAAGAGGAATTTTCACGGTTTAGGGTTCAGGATTGAGGCTGTAGGGTGCCGGGTTTGGGGTAAAGGGTTTGTGGGTTTAGGATTTAGGTTTTAGGTTCAATGCTTAGCATTTAGGGTTTAGGGTTTTATGGTTCTCGGATTCAAGGTTTAGGGTTTAGGGTTTAGTGTAAAGTTCAAAATTTCATTTGAAGGCTCATTTTTTTAGGGATCAGGGTTTATGGTTTAGGGTTTTGGGTTTAGGGTTGAGGCTTCAGGGTTTTTACCCTCTGTCCTACAGGGGCCTGCCCAGGAACTCCGGACCAGATGGCAGAACTGTTAATGGCCGACCGAGCTGACTGAACCAGTTGCTTGCATGCTCATTGCATGTTCGGGGGATCGACCAGGGTTAATGTATTAATTATGGAGTAAATCAATCAAGGGAAGTGTTGCTGAGGTGCGCGTGGAAAAGCACTTGGCCAAAACAAGCAACAGGAGGCTCGCACCTCTCGAGGCTGGCTCGGGAGATAAAAGTCGGAACGAATGAGGATAACGAACTCGATTATGTAGTGGCTGAACGACATGATTCTCTAAGTCAGCGAATAATGGCTTGGACTCGAAGGAATGGTTCAGGTGGTGCATATAACATCAGCGCAATACAGGCAATCCCTAATGGGCCTTCGAGCTCAGTAAGGCACAACGAATAAACTACACGAGCATTCTCCACCGACAAGGGCGCCTTCGGCGCCGGCAAATATGCAATCACAGGATCGGCCTCCCTCGATAATGATGATGAGAAGGTCAATAGAGCCGCCGTAATGTAGGTATACTTTTACATATTTGATATTTAATCTTTAGCACTACGATCTGCTGCTCAAATGGTTTCTTATGAAGTTTCTATTGGTCTTATTATAGTAATTATACTTACTGTATTAATTTGCGTAGATTCTTGTAATTTCGCAGAACTCGTCACAGCACAAAACCAAATATGGTTTGGTATTCCTCTTATGGTTAATGTATGGTGAACGGATGGTTAACGGTTGACGGTTGCAGGGTTTAAGGTTTTAAAGCTGAGGGTTTTCGTGTTCAGGGTTTAGGGTTTGACAGTTGAGGGTTTTAGGGTTTAGGGTTTGGGGTTTAGCATTCAGGGTTTGGGGCTTGGGAACTTCAGTAGCAAGCAAACAACACACAGAGGTTCAGACAAGCCCTGGGGTTATAGCCGCATTTGAAAAATTGTCAGGGCAAGCCAGGGTGTCAGAGAGTAGAAGACTGAAACTTGTTAGAACAGACAATGCCTACAACAATACCACACAATCCCTCTCCTCCGTCGATGTTTTCATCTATGCACAGAGAAAGAAAAGCCAGCAGGGTGCTGTTTTTTTTTTTTTTTAAAGCAGGGCTCTGGAGTGCTCTAATTGGAATTCCTGAGCGCCATGCTGTCCTGCCATGGATTGCATGGGCTCGGCTGTACGTTCAAGTCCATTCTGACCGAGTCATTTGCACAAATATGCCAAACTACAGGGGCATACATGCAATTCTCCCTTTACACACACACACACACACACACACACACACACACACACACAGGGGTATCACTAACCATGGGCGACATGGTGAGTCTTATCCATCAGTCAAATGCGTCCGAGAGAGACTCTGGGTTCCTCCTCCTAGCGAGTTGGTGAAAGTTGGACGAAACAGTCTAACGCACAGTTTGATGAGCATTTCCTCTTATTTTTGTTTGAGTACATGGCCTCAGGCAACTTGAGAACAATGAGAGGCCCTCCCCGAAAAATCCGGGAGCTCGGATGCAACTGGACCAAAGGCTGCCTGCGGCGCCAGCCAAAACGAAAACAAAAATGCCGCCAAGCATTTCCACACAGCTCGGTGCGCATGGGGAACATGCCTTGTACAAAAGAGGCTCAGATGTACTGGTGGTTTAATCGATTAGGCCGGTTCTCGCAGGTACAGTTGGAAGCAAGAAGAGGCCAAGAGGAAGAGAAAAGTAAAAAATAACAAAATATCTCCTTGTTTAGTAGCCTCATACTTTTCTTCTTAATGCCCCTTTTGCACGGGCCGGAAATAGAGAGAACCGAAAAAAAAAAAAAAAAAAGTAAGAACTTCTATAAAATCCTTTTAAAAAGGGAGAAAAATATTTTGGAAATAAAAAAGGTTCGGTGTTCACACATGGGATTGATTTTTTTCTTCTCACCAGATTATGGAGTTGAGCAAGCAACTCATCCTCAAGTTGCAGCCCCCCCTTGTGCTTCTGAAAAACACAAACCAAAAAAAAAAAACAGACGTTGCACGGTTAGCGCACTAAAAATCTAGGAAGATTTTCATGACCGGCCGGTCTGGACCGGCCGGTCACCCGGGCATGACGCCCAGGTGACCCGGTCATGGCAAAAAAAAAAATGAAAAAAATAAAAAAAATAAAAAAATGGCGGTGGGGTTTTTCCGCGCTCTCCGAGAGGAGCCCAAATCCGGGCTCTTTTCTTTTTTTGAGTGTTGGCTGTCAAGGGGGGGAAAGGGGAGTGTAAATGAAATTTAAAGGGGCTAAAGGGGTTTAAAGGGGGGTGCCTTAGTGTGATATTGAAATCACACTTACGATTATTCAACTTGTCATGTATGCAAACAGCGAAACAGCAAATTGGCAACAGGCGCCCACTCAGTACTCAAGATATCGTATCCACATMAGAGTTCTCTTCAAACTGGCTATGGCGACTGAGCGCCCACACAACTCRCTGTTCGCACTCTGGATCACCCTGGATGTCCCACAMGCAACACTCAGTATCACACTTCATACACACACATGCTAGGCTACAGCTATGGCAGCGCTAGCTGCCACTACCTATTGCTGCACTCTACTCCTCTGCCCACTTCGTCTTCGGGCACTCTGCAGACCTCCTCGCACAAGCTGCTAGGCAGCGCTTCCGCATGGCATCCGCAGGAATGAATGAATGAATGGACGCAGCCTCTTGATTTATACTTCTGTGCTGCATTGGTCTGCCTTGTGTCCCTGGCCCATGGTGCACACAGTTCCCCCCGTGGTACTTGCTGGACCGGACTGGTACCTTCTAGACTCTCTCCAACATGGGCTTGCTTTAGTCACACCACTTGCCCACTTGCCTGCACCACTTGACCAGTTGCCTGCACCACTTGACCACTTGCCTGCACCACTTGACCACTTGCCAACCTTCTAGAAGGACTGCAGCTAGCCTTCTAGTCTATAGGTCTACGGATCGAATCCTGGCTACCTATAGACCTACGACAGACCTACCTACCACTGGCGGTTCTACAGGTCGCAGGTTCAACTCTTCGAGTTGACGC